ACACCAAGGTTCTTTACATTAGAACTGGAGGCCAGATTAATGCCATCCAGAGAAGGTGAAAGGCTGCAAAGTTGACCCCTAAGATGTTCAGGTCCAAGAACCATAACCTCTGTCTTATCTGAGTTTAGAAGCAGAAAGTTAAGAGTCATCTATGTTTTTATGTCTGTAAGATTTGCTTGTAGTTTAAGTAACTGGTTGGATTCAGCAGGTTTCGTGGATAAATATAACTGTGTATCATCAGCATAACAATGGAAATTTATCCCATGCTGTTTAATAACTTTAACTAATGGAAGTATATATAAAGTAAAGAGGATTGGGCCAAACACTGAACCCTGAGGAACTCCATGACTAACTCTAGTGTAAGAAGAAGATTCATTATTAACATTACTAAACTGAAATCTATCAGTTAAATAAGACTCAAACCATTTTAGAGCTGTTCATGTAATCCCAATATCAAGTTCAAGTCTATGTAATAAAATATTGTGATCAGTTGTATCAAATGCAGCAGTGAGATCTAACAGGACAAAAATGGACACAAGTTCACTGTCTGAGGCCATGAGAATATCGTTAGTAACTTTCACCAGTGCTGTTTCTGTGCTATGATGAGCTCTAAACCCTGACTGAAACTCCTCATATAGATTATTTCTATCCAGATGTTCACATAGTAGATTTGCAACTATTTTCTCAAGAATTTTTGAGATGAATGGGAGATTAGATATAGGTCTATAGTTGGCCAGAACTCCTGAATCAGCATCAGGTTTCTTACGTAAAGGTTAAATTACAGCAACCTTAAAGCTCATAACCATTCATTAAAGATAAGTTAAGTAAAAAAAAATTGCCACTTCAGTAGAAAACAGAACTAAATGTTAGTTTCTTAATTTCTTCATCATCAGTGATGTTTTTTATAATACTATAATAAAGAAAAAAGAAAGAGAAGAAAAGAAATGTTAAGAGATAAACTGATAGAAATTCGACATGTGAAATGTTCATCAATAACACACAAGACAAACACACCCGACAACTGGCCATCAGAAAGTGTAGAAAACAAACACCCAGCAACCAAGCACAAACATATGCACGTATATAAACAGGGTTGCACATAAAAGTTTTGGTCTGGTTCTCAGGGGTGAACCTGGGGGTGTTGCTTGGTGCTCATATTTTCCTTCACTCATTGAACACATTTATCTAGAGGAGCGTCAGGGCATCTAACGCCCCCCTGTTCTGTTTTATGACTCCTATCAGCTGCAACGTCTCAGGACATCATGTTAAAGCAGTCCAAGTTTTTATTTTATTCTTTTACTCTGCATAAATGTTGTAAACTACCTAAGTGGCCAAGGGGCTGGGTGTATGTCATATAAACATCACAAACTGAACATTTCATGGTTAAATGTCTTTTAGACTAACATGTCCCTCAGATGGACAGTTTGACCTTCTGCATCTTCAGCCTTGGTTAAACCAGATTTCCACACTCTTCAGTCCAAGCAGCAAATATCTGTCTTTCACAC